GGCCCCTTTAGGACAATGAAAATTTGTGTATGCAATAATTTTGCCAAAAACATTCGAAACCCAAGAAAAAAAATATATTTCACTGTGTTTTTTAGTATTAAATTATTGTAAAAAAAATTTTAAAAATATTTATTTTTTTAGGCAAAAAAAAATTGGTTTTTGTTTTTAATAAAAGGGTTTGGTAAGTTTTCTAAGTTCCCTTTTTGGGGGGGAAAATTATGATTTTTTTCATCAAAAATTTTAAAGAAAAAAATATATCTTTAAAAAGTAGGAAGGGGAAAAATTTAAAAAAGGCTTTAAATTTTTAAAAAGCGGGTTTTTGCTAATTGACCCGTTTTAAAATTTCGGCACGGGCAAAATATTTGTATACCCTATATATATTATTATATATATATATAAAAAATATTATATATATTTATTTATTTTTATATATATATTATATTTATATAAAATATATATATATATATATTAAATTATATTTTAAATTTAAATTTTAAAATTTAAAATAAAATTAAATCATTATTAAAAAAAATTAAAAATTGTAAATTAAGGGTTTTTATTTTAAAAAATATAAAAAAATTTATATAATAATTTATATAAAGAAAAATTTAAAAAAATTTAAATTTAAATAATTATAAATTTAAAATAAAATAAATTTTAATAATTAATTTAGGGAAAAATTTTAAATTTATAATTTTATTAAAATATAATATTTATTTTTTATTTTTAAAAAATTAGTTAAAATAATAATATTTTAAAAAAAAAAATAATAAATATAAAATATAATATAGGGAAAATTATATTTTTTTTTTAAAAAAAATTTAAATATAATTAATAATTTAGGGTTAATGTTAAAAAAATTTTTTAATATTTTATTTAATTTTAATATTAAAATAATATAAATAAAATATAATATTAAATAGAGGGGAATTTTAATAAAAATAATATATAGGGAAAATGGAAAATGGGGGAAAAAATATTTAATTTAAAAATATTTTTAATTTAAAAATTTTTTAAAAAATTTAAGGGGGAAAATTAATATTAAAATTTTAAAAATAATAAAAAAATTAGATATAATTTTTTATACAAATAAATATAAAAATATATGGGGAAAAAAAAATTAAATTAAAATTAAAAAAAGGAAATAAATTAAATTTATAAATAAAATTTTTTAAAATTAAAAAAAATTTTATATGAATTAAAATTAAAAATAAAAAAAAATTTAATTTTAAAATAAGAAATTATTAAAATAATTTAATATTAAATATTATTAAAATTTTTTTTATAAAAATAAATTATTTTTATGGGAAAAAAAATAAATTTTAATGAAAAAATTTTTAATTTAAATAAAATAAAATTTTAAAAGGGGTTATATAAAATAAAAATTAAAGTTATTTTATTTATTTGGGGAAAATTTTTAATAAATTATAAAAATAATTAATTAAAAATATATTTTTTATAAAAAAAATAAAAATTAAAAATTATAATAATTTATATATTAAATTTTTAATTTTTATTAAAAATTAAAGTAAACCGGAAAAATAGAGAGAAAGGGGGTTAGGAAAAGGGGGGGTTGTTGGGAAAAGGTGTTTAAGGAGAAAAAAAGGGAAAAAATTTGAAAGGTAAAATTTAAGGGATTTAATGGATTTAAAAAACAAAGGGGGGTTTTGGTGGGAAAAAATTGGAATTTGAGGTGTATGGGTTAAATAGGGAATGAAAAAAGGAAGAGTTTTTTTGGGGGGATGTTGAGCCAAATTTAGGAATTTGGGAAAAGTGAAATTAAATTTGTAAAAAGGGGGCCTTGAAAATGGTTATTTTGTGGGAAAATTTATAGAGGGGTTGGGAAAAGGAAGTTTGCGGGGTTTGGGGCCAAAGGGGGGGTTAAAAATGAAAAAAATTGGGGGAAGCCCTTTGATTGAACCCTTTTTCCCTTGGGGGAAGGAGAATTAGGAAAAGGTAAAAATTTTTTTTAATTTAAAAAAGAAAAAAAGGTAATAAGGAAAGAGAATTTTGAGGTAAAAAAGGGGAAATGAAAGAGTTAAATAGATTGGAGGGTAGATAGGAGGGCTGAATTTTATTAAATTTAGGGAAAAGTACATGGGGTTTTAAAAAAGGGGAACAGAAAATTAAAAGGGGAAAAAATTTTTTAAATTGTAGACAAAGAAGGGGGGAAAGAAAAGGGGGAAAAGGAAAAAAATCCATAGGGGTGTGAAGCATGGGTGATGAATGTTGCAGCGAGGAGAAGGCTGGAGGCAGTGGTGATGTCATGTCTGAGAGCAATGTGTGGTGTGAATATAATGCAGAGAATTCGTAGTTTGGAAGTTAGGAGGAGGTGCGGGATTACCAAAACTGTTGTCCAGAGGGCTGAGGAAGGGTTGTTGAGGTGGTTCGGACATGTAGAGAGAATGGAGCGAAACAGAATGACTTCAAGAGTGTATCAGTCTGTAGTGGAAGGAAGACGGGGTAGGGTTCGGCCTAGGAAAGGTTGGAGAGAGGGGGTAAAGGAGGTTTTGTGTGCGAGGGGCTTGGACTTCCAGCAGGCATGCGTGAGCGTGTTTGATAGGAGTGAATGGAGACAAATGGTTTTTAATACTTGACGTGCTGTTGGAGTGTGAGCAAAGTAACATTTATGAAGGGGTTCAGGGAAACCGGCAGGCCGGACTTGAGTCCTGGAGATGGGAAGTACAGTGCCTGCACTCTGAAGGAGGGGTGTTAATGTTGCAGTTTAAAAACTGTAGTGTAAAGCACCCTTCTGGCAAGACAGTGATGGAGTGAATGATGGTGAAAGTTTTTCTTTTTCGGGCCACCCTGCCTTGGTGGGAATCGGCCAGTGTGATAATAATAAAAAAAAATGATATATTATATATATATATATATATATTATATATATATATATATATATATATATATTATAATATATATATATATATATCGTGCCGAATATGTGAAACTGTTCAATTAGCAAAAGCTCATTTAAAATTAAGTCCTTTCTGAAATTTTCTCTTATACGTTGAAAGATATATTTTTTTTCATTAATATTAATGTAAAAATTTTTAATATTGCACCAAAAGAATCTTATATATATATATATATATATTAATATATATATATATATATATATATATATAATATATATATATATATATATATATATATATATATATATATATATATGTATAGGCATCAACGCAGCTGCGGCTTCAGTTCTCTGACACAGATGCACATGGCATCTTCTGAAAGGAAGAGAACGCGATGTTTGGTACAGTTCTGGTGAAAAAGCTGCTAGATCAATCCCTGGACTCATGGGACAGTGAGGTAAGCGACAGCAGCTGGGCAGATGAGGAAATGTTCATCCCATCCACAGATATACTGGATGGATAAGCTTGATAGGCAGGAACCTGTTTTCTTGCCTCAGATTGTGCAAGTCAAACCATCAGCAAGCACCAAATTTACGTTGATTAAAAAAGAACACCCCGACACCCCGTATACTTCTATAATTCACTTCTAGGGGAAATATGACCTGAAGATATCAGTGTCCCCTAATCTGAAAGAGGAGTTTATTCTCACTTCCTATGAGGTATTGCAGAAGGTGAAAAGCTTCGAATCACCAGTTGAACCAAGAGAACTAAAATCTATTGATCGAGTAACAAAAGACGTGCTAATGCGTGATCCACTAGACATGCCTCTCGATGCAATCCACAGTTACAAAAACTTCCTGAATGTTGAGCGACTCCGAACCAAGAAGGACAACAACGTACCTAGGAGGCAGGTCTTAATTAAACAATAAATAGTACGTCTCACAGCTCAAACGGCTCTCGGTTGCCGTGAAAAATACCAGGTTAGGACATACAAAACAGACCTATAATGTGTTTCAGGTTCCAGAGGCACAACCATCTCAGCTCCGGATGTCAGTTTAAGGAAATACGTGGCATGTGTAGCGGATCTCACCTGATTAAAGGCTGCTTGGGTAAACTGAAGAGAGGTGCAGCTACCGAACCTCGGGGTTCAAACTGTGACAAAAATCATCATACCAGCCCTTAGAGGCTTCGCTGCGCCACGACAGTATGGAAAACCCCGGTTATTCAGCCTCCATTGTAATGTGAAGCCGTCACCACTGAGCAGCAGCATCGTCCAGAGGAAACTACAGTAACACGGAATCCAGGGCCACTTCCCCAGCCACAGCGATGAAGGAAACTGAGGAAGCATCAACGACGGGGTTACGCCCTTGCTCATTTATCATTTGATACTTCTGCCTGACCTTCCACCCAACAACGGCAGCCAACGGGCACCATGATGCAGGAACAGACTACAGCCAATGTGTTATCTGTAACACCGCAGCAGTCTCCAAGGAAGAGCACTGTAGCCAGGGGGAACAGAGCAAGCCATCCTGTGTTGCCCCAGAGCCATCATCGAAAATCACGTGATTCACTGATATATGCGATCTGATAGGCTCAAAAGAAAACAAACAGACATTCAGAACTGTTGTAAAGACCTTCGTGAATATATATACATGACGAACAAAGCAGAATCTTTGGTTTATTTGTAAATTTACCTGACCATCCAACATAGAGCCCAGAGACACTGATGGATGGGGGGAGCTGAGTACTCACTCCAATGTAGTACATAAAATGTTTTGCTGTAAAACGCACAGGGATTACAAGACCCTGATAGCGGCCACATAACAGCTGAATTAAATGAACATCTCCGAGAACCTCAGACGGGTCATCTTAGAATTAAGACCTGTGTCAGGACGCAGCTCTTGACAAATCAATCAAATAACAACCATCGTGTGATTTGTAAATGGTCCAGGTCTGACTGAAATGTCGTAATAAGCTTCTCTTTTCAGTGAGCTGGTTACTTGTACACTGTAGTTTTTAGAATTCTAACTTTCCATAATTCTGCAAATATTATTTGAAAAGATAGAGAATATTACATTTATGTATAGCATGCCGGTATTTATTTCATTGCCATATTTAATTAATAAATGACTATTTTCCCAGATGTGTGGTGCCAAATTGTGATGACAACAGTACCCATTACGAGGAGAACTTTACTGAGTGGGCCATCCCAGAGGGTGACCAGTGTCATGTCTGGACACTCAAGAACAACATTACTGACCAATGTCAACCAGACGTATTTTCCAACTCAACTTCATCTTGCTCACAGTGGGTTTATGACACATCATTGTTCTCTGCAACTACTGTCACTCAGGTTTGTGAGTGTTTGCTGTATTTGTTTTGTAGAATTAATACATTTTTTCTTATTGTTGTAGATGAATATGCTTAGTTGTGTTTTACTGTGTATTACGACTCGCGTAAGTAATAGTGCGGTGTCCCGTAGCTGGATCGCTAGCGCACTCACCTCAAACACTCAGGCTGTTCCTGCTCACCCATTGAAATTGAAATGTTTATTTCTCTGTAAAGATTACAATGTGAGGTTTACATATTATAGAATATTAATTACAATTTGTGGTTTACATATTATAAAATATGAATTACAAAGAAGGCCACTAGCAGGCCTAGGCATTTCGGGCAGACTAATACTAATTCTTACTCTATATTGACACAGGTTATGGAACATACTGATATTAAAGTTAGATAACTGTAGTGAATAAGTAGATTTACAAATAGATATTAGAATCTGTAAATTTAGTAATGAGAATGGTTTTGTCTTGGCATGATACACAGTTTCCATTAAAGCTCTAATACTGGAGTATCTCAGGCAACTTATGACTAGCTTTAGATTTATTAGGCAATAGCTATGTTCGGAATTTTATGTTTGCAGTCATTTGGGTGAATGTAAGTGTAAATTAAGAAGAATCACAGATATCGAGAGTAAGTCTATTTTGTTTTGGATGTTTGCATTATACATGTAGTAGTATAGATGGTTTTCATGTAGTTAGGGAGATAAGATTCTTTCAGCGGTAGTTTTGAAAACGGTGGTTGAGTCTGCAGTTCTAGAGTTTTCAGGAAGCGAGTTCCAGATTTTACGCTCTTTCATGTACTACATTGAATTTTTGTATAGATTTAGCCGGACATGGGGAATGTCATAGAGATTTTTGTGTCTGGTATTGTGCCTGTGGGTCCTGCCACAACTATCAAGAAAGTGTTTTAGTTCAGGGTTAATATTGGAATTTATGGTTCTGTAAATGTAGTCTGAACAGTAGTAAGTGTGGATGTTCTGACAATGAGTTTAGGTCTTTGAAGAGTAGGGGTGTATGTTGCCTAGTTCGAGATTGCATGATAATTCTTTCTGCGGTTTTTTGTTGGGTTATTATTGACTTTAGGTGGGTTGTTGCTGTTGATCCCCAGGCACAAATGGCATATGTGAGGTAGGGATAGATGAGTGAATAGTATAGTGTGAGTAGGGCTGATTGTGGTTCGTAGAAACGTATCTTAGACAGGATCCCAACAGTTTTGGGTCCTTTTTTTTATGTGTTGGATATAGGTGCTGAATTTCAGGTTGCTGTCGAGGTGTCGGCTCAGGAATTTGCCCTCATTATGTTTAGCAGTAAGAGTGTTGTCAATCTTAATGTTCAGTTGTGCAACACCTGCTCCGTTACCAAACATAATATAGGAGGTTTTGTCAGTGTTAAGTGTAAATTTATTGGCAGTCATCCAGGCAAGATTTGGGTGGGAGATGACATAAGTCGTGTCGTCAGCAAAGAGAATTGGTTTCAGATGTTGTGATACGTTGGGAAGATCATTGATGTATAACTGGAAGAGCAGGGGACCAAGAACACTTCCCTGTGGCACTCCATTACAAGTGGTTGTGTTGATGAGGTTGTGTTCTTAATGGAGACATATTGATATCTGTTAGTATGGTGGGATTTGAAATATATAAGTGCAGGGCCTCTTACACCGTAATGGTCGAGTTTCTGGAGTAGGATGCCGTGACCTACTGTATTAAAAGCTTTCCTTAGGTCAATAAAGAGTTCTAATAGATATTCCTTTTTTTCTAGTGCTGTGTAAAACAGGTCGAGCATTTTCACAATTGCATCGTTTATGCTTTTTTCTCTGAAGCCAAATTGGCAGGGGTTGAGTATGCTTTGTGCTGTTATAAATGAATATAATCTCGTGCGTGAGTTTTTCGAAGATTTTGGATAGCAACGGTAAATTTGATATTGGCCTGTAGTTATTTACATCTGTGGGGGTCACCACCTTTGTGTATTGGTGTAACACTTGCTGCCTTGAGTGGTGCCGGGAAAGTGATAGTTTCTAGTGATTTGTTAAAAAGTAATGAAATAGAAGGCGAAAAGACATGAGTCGTTCGCGTGTACAATAATGGTGGCACTTGAGATAGATTCCCTGATTTATATTTAAGTGACTTGATAATCGAGGTGACTTCAGTGGGCTCGGTAGGTGCAAGATAGAAGGAGGATGGGAAATCCCCCTCTAAGTAATCACTTGCTTGGGCGTTTATACTTGGGATTTTACTGGCGAGATTTGATCCTATGGTTGAGAATCCATGTATTTTGTTAACTGTGTCAATAGGCTGTAGTGGTGTTTCATTTGGTTTAGTAAGGACAATATCTCTAGTTTTTTTCAGTTTGTGGGTGCCCAGAATCTGAGAGAGTGTTCTCGAGGTCTTTTTTATATCTCCTCTTGTGTCGGTGAATCTGCTGGAATAGTACAGTTGCTTGACCTTTCTAATTAGTTTGGTGAGAACTGATGCATAGTGTTTAATAATATCTTTGTGTATTAAGCCCTGTTTATATTACTTTTCTTATTGATGTTTCTTATCAAAGGATCTTAGTATGCTGTTAGTTAGCCATGGGCAACCTAGCCGATTATTCGTAATATGTTTCGTTTTTATAGGACAATGTTTGTTGTATAGTCTAAGTAATTTATCAAGAAATATGTCTATCCAGTCATTGATACCACTGGCATTGGAGAATTCTGTAGGCCAGTCAACCGTCCGTAGCCCTGCTGTCAAGTTACTTACTGAGGCCTCGTCACTGAGTCTAAACGAAACTGTTGTATTCCAGTGGTGGTTTATTAATGATTGTTAAGAGGAAGGTTGGGTAGTGGTCAGTAGTGCTGTCTGTGATTATCCCTGATTTAAGGGGGGCTAGTATATTGGTCCATATATGGTCAATTATGGTTGCGCTTGTCTCAGTCAGCCTGGTTGGTTTAGTTATTGTTGGTATGAGAAGTGTGTTGTTCATATTGTTGATGAAATCAGTTACGCCAAGGTTGATGTTGAAGGCTCCGGCTAAAAGAAGGTGGTGTTTGTTCATTTGGTTGTTTGTTATTAGTGTCTTTAACATATTGCATATTTGGGATGTTTGTGTGAGGCATCCGGTAAATGACACTAATTGTTATAAGAGTCTTAAGTTTTTTACAGTAAAATCTGTAAAAAATATATTTTCTATATTCATCACTATAGCAAGTGGTGCTATAACAAGATAGTTCATTAGAGTAATAGAATACAATACCACACCCAACTTGGTATGGTCTGCAGTTGTGGATTGCTGTGTATCCTGGTAGTGAGTAGATATCTGTTGTATCCTGCTTAAGCCAGGTTTCAGTAAGAATAATACAGGAAAAGGTAGTCTTTAGGGAATTCAGGAATGCCAGGAGGTCATCATAGTGTTTGCCTAGGGACCTGATATTGTAGTCAAGAACTGTTATATTTTTAGCATCATTTAGGACAATGCTGGCTTGTCATGCTGTGTAATAAAGGCAGTTGCTTTCCATTAAATTTTGATTGAGTGTTAGATTATCTAAGTTTAGATCTGGTCAACATGATCATTCATCATTTAGGTTAAATGGTAATTCTTTATATCATGTATAGTGTGTTGAGTTCCAGTCCTGATATCTGTAATAGAGGGATGTTTGGACAAGTATATAGGTAATGTAAGATGGTCAAGTCGAGTGTAGGAACTAATAAACATAATGAACTTAGTGTTGACTATGTATTAAGCTAAAATGAACTAAAGTATTAACTAGAAATAAGCTATTAAGATAAAATTATAATATGAAGTAGCACTAGACTATGACTTGTTATTGCACTGAAGCTAACTTAATTGTTTACAATAGATAATAGAATAATATGTGCACAGTTCTAATTTAAAGATTATTTGAGTTGAGATTAAGACACTTGTGCAACATCTGGGTATCTTTATTGTAGACGTTTCGCCATCCAGTGGCTTTATCAATACAAATTCTAGAACATAACTTGTCTTCAAGTTATGTTCTAGAATTTGTATTGATAAAGCCACTGGATGGCGAAACGTCTACAATAAAGATACCCAGATGTTGCACAAGTGTCTTAATCTCAACTTGTCGGTATTATATACCATTCGTACATTATGTGAGTTTTTGCAGTACTATGATTATAAGATTGTAAGATGGTAAATAATAGATATTTACAAACTGTAAATTGGAATATTTGGCAATAACAGATAGCAAAATAAAATGAGCACAGTTTTAAATTAAAGACTAAATGGATTTTAGGAGTGATATGATAATAAGATGGTAAACAACAGATATTAATAACAGATATTAAAACTATGAGGTAGAGTGGTAATTGAATACAAAAGTGAGACACAAAAGTAGTATGAGGGTATTAAAATTTAAGGAACAAATTTTATGGCAGTATTTAACAGCTACAGAGTGGTTCATAATACTATTCGTGGACGTGGGTATAAACTGAACTTTATTCTGAGTCAGTTAAACCAGCTTCACTCTGGAATTTTTTTAGTTCGTATTCCATTAAGATGAAGTACCTTTTCCCAATGGGTTCTTTCCTAACTACGATTTCACAGTCCCTCGCAAAGCACTGATGGATTTTTTGGTTGTGGGGCAATTTTCTTAATTGATAAAGGAGGTTTTGCCTTACTTTGGTAAGGCACTCACCAACATATACCTCTGATTCCATGGATATGGATGTTTTTAACAAGTTATTTCTTTGCAAGCTGGTTTTTCTCCGTTTGGTAGCCCATCAGTTTGCAATCTTTTACATCATCACTTCGTATGTTTAGGCAAAGGTGATGCTTGTGAAGCTGTAAGGTGATTTCCATGAATGTTTTATGAGTGACTGTAGGTGGTTGCTATTAACTACAACAGCTTCAGATAGCTGTTGATAAATTAGACACATGTGCAACTCTTGGGTACCTTCATTGAGGAAACGTTTCGCCACACAGTGGCTTCATCAGTCCATACAAAGAAGAAATGTGAAGAACAGGAGGAGAATGAGGTAATCAGTCCCTCAACCTTGAGTCGATGTGGTCAGTCCATCAATGGACTGATGAAGCCACTGTTCTGGTTGAAGTTGTTGGATATAGAGATAAGCGATGATTCCAGGATTTTTCGGTATTGAGTGTTGTCTTCTCTGGCGATAAGTCTTGAGTTTCTGTAGTTTATTAAATGGTTGTGTGAATTACGGTGTTGTATATAGGCATTCATTGGGTCGTCAAACCTGCTTGCGTAGTGGTGTTCTGAAATACGTGGGCGAAACATCAAGAGACCTCCAAACACGTATTTCAGAACACCAATACGCAAGCAGGTCTGACGATCCAAGGAATGCCTGTGTACAACACCGTAATTCACACAACCACTAAATAAATTACAGAAACTCAAAACTTATCGCCAGAGAAGACAACACTCAATACCGAAGAATCCTGGAATCATCGCTTATCTCTATATTCAACAACTTCAACCAGAACAATGGCTTCTATAACATAGCTGAACCACTTGCCAAGAAACTTCTTCATCGTTGTCCCATGTAAGAACATAGGAATGGAAGAACACTGCAGAAGGTCTTCTCACATACTTATCCAATCCCCCTTCCAAGCTACCCAAGATTTTACTCTATAACCCCACTCGGTAAATCATCAGATGCAGCATTCTCCACCTGACCTCAGCATTCTGAACCTCACTATAAATACTCTCGTACCTCCCACCCATAAACACATCATCTATCAAAGACCTCACTACGAAACGCAGCCCCACACCTCTAACTTCTACAGCAGGCGTCTACACTATCCCCTGTGGGTTCTGTCCCAATAAATATGTAGGCGAGACAGGAAGAGATCTTGCAGTCCGCCTGAATGAGCATCGAAATGCCTCTAACAGAGACGATGTAAGGTACGCCTGTGTCCTCCACAGAGACTCCACGGGGCATTTGATGAACTGGAATGAGGCACAACTCGTTCTCACCGAACCAGACCTCAGACGCCGTCGGTGCCTAGAAGCCTCACTAATCGCCGTCACCGACACTATAGAACGCAACACTGGAAACTACAAAATTTCAAAAACATTGGCACATGATACTTAAGCACCACCAACCCAACAACACAGGAGTCACATGATTTCATCGTCTACCCGTCCTCATCACAACATGACATTCCTCAGGTCACGTGCGTCACTCACACCTCACTCTCCGCCTATATATATATAATGTCTTTCTACCTCTGTATGTTAGAAGTGATCAAGGTCCCAGGACCGAAACGTTTTCTAATAAATATGTCATACTGTTTGCTTACGTGTCTTTCTAAACCAACTTGTTGGTATTTATTACCAAGGTTTATACCATCATATTCATTACCATGATCTATCCTCTCAAACACCTTAGTGAAAAAAGTTAGTAAATTCGTAAGACTGGAACGCTCCTTTGTAAAACCGTGTTGAGAATCATTAATCAATCTGTGCCTGTCAAGATGGCTACGAATTGCTTCGGCAATTATTGATTCCATAAATTTTCCCACTATGGAGGTAAGGCTTATTGGTCTATAGTTCGAAGCCAAGGACCTGTCACCTGCCTTGTAAATAGGTATTACATTTGCCATTTTCCACTTATCAGGCACTATGCCAGTTTGTAGTGATATGTTAAAAAGATTATTCTGTTAATGGGTTGGATCGGTGAAGGACCTGCCTAGTATGGGCCAACAGGCCTACTGCAGTGTTCCTTCTTTCCTATTTTATCATAATCTAAGAAAAGTCAAGAGGGACTGGTCCCTAATCTGCTCACAGAAATCACTCCCTACGATAGTAGGGAGCCCCATTAGTACACTAGGAGAAAACGCAGTAAGAGTCAGGGGCCCAAGACTGCTCAACAGCTTCCCACCAAACATAAAGGGAATTACCAATAGATCCATGGCTGCTTTTAAGAGGGACCTGGACAGATACCTAAAGTCAGTGATGGATCAGCCGGGCGTGTGGTTCATACACTGGACTACGTGCAGCCGGCAGTAAGAGCCTAGTTGATCAGGCCCTGAGCAACAATGAGGCCTGGTCATGGACCGGACGGCGGGGGCGTTGATCCCCGAAATACCTTCCAGATAGACTCAAGGTAGTACCGGTTATAGTAGTTAATATTAACCAATCTGACCGAGTGGTTAACACACTGGCCTCTGAGTTTTACCAATCACTTGCCATGGGTTCAAGCCCCACCCGTTCTGTTATTACCTGGATATCTACTGTATCAAGTTAATTTACCAGAATAAATCTTGTGGTAAGATAAAATATTTGCTTAACCTTCTAATTTCCATATAAATGTAAACAGAAGTATATTAATGCTGACAGTGTTTATGAAGACAGAAATACATACACTTAGGACGTCTTTACGAGATACATGTTAGTCCTGGAACCTTGGTCACTCCACCTAGTCCTGGAACCTTGATCACTCCACCTAGTCCTGGAACCTTGATCACTTCACCTAGTCCTGGAACCTTGGTCACTCCACCTAGTCCTGGAACCTTGGTCACTCCACCTAGTCCTGGAACCTTGATCACTCCACCTAGTCCTGGAACCTTGGTCACTCCACCTAGTCCTGGAACCTTGGTCACTCCAACTAGTCCTGGAACCTTGGTCACTCCACCTAGTCCTGGAACCTTGGTCACTCCACCTAGTCCTGGAACCATGGTCACTCCACCTAGTCCTGGAACCTTGGTCACTTCACCTAGTCCTGGAACCTTGGTCACTCCACCTAGTCCTGGAACCTTGGTCACTCCACCTAGTCCTGGAACCTTGGTCACTCCACCTAGTCCTGGAACCTTGGTCACTTCACCTAGTCCTGGAACCTTGGTCACTCCACCTAGTCCTGGAACCTTGGTCACTCCACCTAGTCCTGGAACCTTGGTCACTTCACCTAGTCCTGGAACCTTGGTCACTCCACTTAGTCCTGGAACCTTGGTCACTCCATTTAGTCCTGGAACCCTGGTCACTTCACTTAGTCCTGGAACCAAAGTGACAGCACTGAAATGTTGGGCTTGTTTCATTACACCTGCTGCACCTGTTCACATAGTAGTAAGTAGGTACCTGGGTGTTAGTCACCTTACACCTGCTGCACCTGTTCACTTAGCTGTTAAGTGTGGCATCCTGGGGAACAAAATTAATCTAAGTTGCCCTGAATGCTCTGCATAACTACGATCTTTCTATGAAATATGTCAGTGATGTTAGCCAGTTATGTAATACATGTATCGTGTATTTGTAGTAATAAACTTTATTATTATTATTATTATTATTAGTACTAGTAGTAGTAGTAGCAGTAATAGTAGTAGTAGTATTTAAGATATTCTAAATGTATTCACTTGAGCCCTTTTATCATTGCCGTAATATCTTGAATTTGTTACCTGGCTATTGACCAGTTTTACATATTCGGCACGACATTATATATATATATATATATATATATATATATATATATATATATATATATATATATATATATATATATATATATATATATATATATATATGTCGTGCCGAATATGTAAAACTGGTCAATTAGCAAGAACTCATTTAAATTAAGTCCTTTCTGAAATTTTGTCTTGTACGCTTAAAGATATATTTTTTTTTATTAATGTTAATGTAAAAAAAATTAATTTTGCACCAAAAGAATCTTAGAAAACTTACCTAACCTTATTATAACAAGAACAATTTATTTTAGCCTAACCCAACTAAATATATTTTAGATTTGTTTACAATAATTTAATACTAAACAAACACAGTGAAATATATTTTTTTTCGTTAGGTTCAGAATGATTTTGGCGAAATTATTGCATACACAAATTTTCACTTGTCTTATACGGCAAGATGAGCGTTGCTATTTAAGCCAAAATCGCAAGTTCTGCCTATTCGGCACGACATATATATATATATATATATATATATATATATATATATATATATATATATATATATATATATATATATATATATATATATATATATATATATTACTGTAACCACGAACGAGTGGTATTGATCAATAACAACATGGTTACAATAATATATAAATACTGCTCATGAGGCTAGTACACTAAACAGGGATGAGAATAAAATTAGCTTAGAAGCTCTCACACATCCGTATGCCCTCTGTTGGTGGCCCAACAGCTAGCTGTGTGCTGGCTGCACCATTCTTGTAGGGTTGGGTGGTCCTGTGGTTTGAAGCGTCAAGTGGTTCTCGCTTACCATGAGGCAGGCCAGTACAACATGGGTTCGAATCCTTGGCTAGTGCAGTGTTTTTATATATATATATATATATATATATATATATATATATATATTATATATATATATATATATTATATATATATATATATATATATATATATATATATATATATATATATATATATATATATATATATATATATCAACAACAACACTGCACAAGTCAAGGACTAGAGCCCATGCTGCTTTGACCTGCCTCATGGTGGGCAATAACACATGACGCCCTAATCCACTGGACCATACGATCCTTAACAATTAATGGTTTGATATTTTTTATTTCCACAGTTTGATTTAACATGTGAAAAAGCTTGGCTTCGTCTTCTTGGTGGATCAATGTACATGACTGGTATGTTAGTGGGAGCCATTGTTTTTGGCGATTTAGCTGATCGCTTTGGAAGAAAAAAGGGAATCTTGACGTCAGTACTTGTATTTGTTGCTGGTGGAGTTTTAAGCGCAGTGTCTCCTAACTACTACATGTTCCTGTTGATGCAGCTCTTTACCGGTGCTGGTGGCTGTGGCCTCGTTGTTGTTACATATGTCTTGAGTAAGTACTTTATATTATTTATTATTTTTCTTTTTCATCCCTTCAAGAGAAGTCTCGCAATGGTACTAATTTTAAATTTGTAAATATTTTTGGTTATGTAAATATTTTTAAATTAACGTTTTTTACCTTCCTTTAGCAACTTATATTTTCTCACGAAACCGTCATATCACTATTGCAAATAAATCACAGAACGGATGGGGTTTGAACCCATGGCAAGTGAGTGCTAAAACTCATACTGACCTGTGAGTTTTGGACTCACTTGCAATGGGTTAAAAAATTACTCATTTTCTGGCTTTTTTGACTAAAACAAATTTTCAGTATTACTGGACTACATATTCTCTTCAGTACTAATTGCTTTGATAATTAAACCCAAATAAGTTCTTCATACACAGGTCCACATTCAGATAATAATATTGCATTAAATTTTAATTAGTACCTGTAGTCTATAGTTTAATTCATTCCTCACTAATATAATGCAGTCATACAAAGGAACTGTTTCTTATTTTGTTGAATAACAAACAAAGCAGTGTCTCTTTAGGGGATGGCTGTAAAAGGATGATTCCCACTTCTTGTTCAATATTGAAGACGTGACTGATAAACTGTCAATTGAACAGTGAGCTTCATAAAACTGAGGAAGCTGTCATACTGCTTCACCTGTTGGAAGATAATTCAAGAAGTTGTTAGCCTGACCACTGGTGCTGAAACTTGATAAAAAGCAGAGCAGTGCCAGCAGTAATTGCCAGCTATTCTCAGGAAACCTAATACTCCTATTTAGGTATGATTCATCACCATTCAGGTTAAATGTGACTAAATGCATAATGTATTCTAAGGTTCTTGATGCACTGTGCATTCGAAATGACAAATATTGTATATATAAAAAACATTCTGAAAAATGAATACCGAAATCTACTTTAGAGGTGTCAGAGGCACCTGGTAGTTACTACGGTAAGTCCTTTAAATGTACGTTGCTCCTCGGAATATGATATAAATTGCATTAATTCTGGGCAGAGGATAGTGCAGTCAGTGCTCTATTGATAAGTACCATGTACCTTGGGTTCTCTTAACACTTACTGTCACCTGCATGTTGTTCTGAGGGTCAATGCCTCTATGTCCAAGTCCTTGACCAAGCCTTCCTGGGTACAAAACTAATCTGATCCCCAGTACTAGAGATTTAAAAACAATTACTAAAATAAATCCCTGTTTTTAGATTTGAAATAAGACTAAAATGAGTGAAATCTGATAAATACTGACTGTGACTGTCATGTGACAGGTGACTGTCATGTGACAGGTGACTGTCATGTGACAGGTGACTGTCATATGACAATCTCACGCCGGCAGAGTGAAGTTAGTTACTGCTTTTTAAAGGTTTTCATGTACGTCACAGACTCTTTCATATAATCAGAACTACTAAACACCTCAAATGATGTAGTTGAAGTTTTGGCAGTATGGATTGAAAACAAAAACTTTGTCATTATGGTTGTATACAAGCCTACGGATGCAACTTCCCATCAATTCCAGGAACAGTTTTGAAAATTGACTATTGTCTGGAAAATCTCCCAACTCCTGCCCCAAACATCTTGCTGCTGCGAGATTTCAACATGAGACACCAAAAATGGAGGAGCGTAGCAAATAATATTTTAGCAGTGATACAAAATATAACGGTATCGAACACAATACACTCAGATCACAATATAATAGAGGTACAGATATTAATGCACAGGGCTCCTGACCAGCAAAATGTGATCAGTCATGAGGATGTCTTAACAAAATTCAGCTTCAATAACAAAAACATACAATGTGAACAAGCCAATCATGCCCTTAATGAAACAAGCTGGGAAGATATCCTAAACAAACGGATCCGAACCCTTGCCTAGAAAAATTAAGTCTGTGGTACTTGAAGTCTTCTCAAGGCACATTCCATTAAGAAAAAGAAAAAGAAGATGTAAACTAGAAAGAGAGACATGCTCCCTATACGGACGAAGGCGAAGAATCACAGAGCTGATGAGAAGGGCCAATATATCTGAAATACGAAGGGAGTCACTGATCAGAGAAGCAGCAAATATCGAAATTAAGCTTAAAGAATTTTACATGACACAAGAATCTCAGGAAGAACTAACAGCCGCAAAGGAAGTTTGGGAAAAAATCCTTCTTCTCCTATGCAAATCTAAGGGTTAAACAACATCGAGTATTGGGCCTCGTCTTAGGTGAGGTGGGACCTACATAGATGACAGCAAAGAAATAAGTGTGATACTAAAGTCCCAGTATGATTCAATGCTCATTGAGCCATTACCCAGACTAAGGGTAAACAATCTAACTGAATTCTTTATGACCGAGACCCAAAATTTGGTCATCTCAATAATCTCTGATATCATCCTAACACCATAAGACTTTGAAAAGGCAATAAATGACATGCTCATGCACTCTGCCCAAGGCCCAAACTCGTGGAACTCCGTGTTCATCAAGAACTACAAGAAATCCCTAACACGTGCCTTCAACATTCTAAGGAGAGGGAGCATGGACACAGGGGTCATCCCACTCTCACTTAAAACAACAGGCATAGCTCCACTCTACAAAGGTGGCACTAAAGCAGTTGCAAAGAACTACAGACCGATAGCACTAACATCCCATATCATAAAATCTTTGAAATCGTTCTGAGAAGCAAGATACCCATCAATTACACAAGTCAGGGCAACACAGGTTTACAGCAGATCGCTCCTGCCTGTGCCAACTACAGGACCATTATGACAAGGTCCTGGATGCTGTAGAGGATAAATAAAATGTAGATGTAGTGATGTAGTATACACAGACTTTGCGAAAGCCTACGACCAGTGCAACCACGTTGTAATAGCGCACAAAATGCGTGATAAAGGAATAAAAAGAAAAGTTGGAAGATGGATCTATAGCTTCCTAATAAATAGAAGATACACAGTAATAGTAAACAGAGAAAAATCTGAGGCAGCTGTGGTGAAAAGCTTTGTTCCACTAGGCACAGTACTCGCTCCCATCCTATTCCTCATCCTCTAATCTGACATCCTTTGCGGATGACACCCGACTTGCCACGACACTGAAGACACTGCAAGTATCCAAGTGGACATCAACCAAATCTTCATGTGGGCCGCTGAAAACAATATGAATTTCAATGAAGAGAAATTTCAACTACTTACATATGGAAAACTTGAGGAAATTAAAACTGTAGCAGGGTATACAGCAAATTCTAACCATACAATAGAGCGAAAAAGTAATGTAAACGACCTGGGAGTGATAATAACAGAGGATCTCATCTTCAAAGACCACAACAATGTATATACCGCATCTGCTAGAAAAATGATACGATGGATAATGAGAACCTTCAATACTAGGGATGCCAAGCCCATGATGATTCTCTTCCAATCGCTTGTTCTCTCCAGGCTATAATATTGCTGTACACTAACTACCCCCTTCAAGGCAGGCGAAATTATTGACCTGGAGAGTGTACGAAGAACTTTCACGGCACACATAAGTACTATGAAGCGCCTAAATTACTGGGAACGGTTGAAGTCCCTTGATTTGTATTCCTTGGAACGCAGGCGAGAGAGATACACGATAAAATGCACATGACCAAACTTGCACACGAAAATCACTTCTTATGAGCAAAAGTTTCGGCAGGAGATGCAACATTTCCCTCATTGAAAAGCAGGGGCGCCACGAGTGCACTGAGAGACAACGTGCATCACCACATTTATAAAAACTGCTATTGTGATCAAGTGTAGCGCATGCTTACCTCACTGTTGTGAATAAATATATACCAAGTTGGATGAATATTCCCAGTCTTTAGGATACTTATATCAGAAGGCTTTCATCATAGTTTTCAACATCCAATGTACTCTCTGGTAGGCATCTTGAGACTGAGGATGATACACGGTTGACGGAGTAGATGATACTAAATAACAAAAAAGGCACAATACCGTGACTGGAACGATACACAAATAACCCGCACATAAAAGAGAGAAGATTACGACGACGTTTCGGTCCGACTTGGACCATTGACAAAGTCACACTAACCAGAAGTGGAGCAGGACGGCTATATATAGGCAGGAAGAGGTGATGGTAGTAGTAGTAATAGTAGTACAAGAATGGTATATAATACCGACAAGATGAAATTAAGACACATGCGCAACACCCGGGTATCCCTATCGTAGACGTTTCGCCATCCAGCCAGCCACTGGATGATACTCACAGGAAGGAAAACCTTGAAAATATAATTGCTATGCTGGTGAGTCTTATTCTCTTTAGGTAACCAAATGGTAAGATACCAGGAATTTATTTTAAACAAAATGTGAGTGACTCAAGTAAACATCTTTCAGATATCCATAGGATATTTATTATGGCGCAGCTCCTCCACTCTTCATTATACTGAACATTGTTTGCTCTCAGACGAAGGTCCTTGATGCTGGTAAGAGGCTCTTGATTGAAAACGTCGAACCTGAGTTCTTCCAGTTCCCCAGACACTGTTTAATGTCTAAAGGTTCAGCCCTCCTATTATTCATAAGGTTGGCTGGGCAAAAGTAGTTCAATTATGTTCTTGAATTGTGCTTTAAATAAGACAATATGACGATATTATAACATTAACATATCTGATATAATGTCTGTTGGATGCAGTTTATTCACCGTTTATTAAAGAAGGAAACCATTGTATAGTATTTACATTTATATCATTTTATATTTTAGGTCACTTGTTCTATGTTGATAACAGAGCAGACTGGAAACAATGTGATATAATATCTTCATAAATAATATTAATTGTTTCTTACACTGATAAATGAAAGTTTATTATTAAATCATTGGCTAAAGGGGATTTAAATCTAATCTACTACACTAGGGGTCATTAAGGCTGCAAATCACCTGTTTACGATCATCCAAGAAATATTTTAACAATTACTGACAGAATTAAAGTAAATTCTCAACATACATAAACAGAAATATGCATATCTCGGTGTATATATTCATGGGCTAAATCAATAAAAATTTACCGTAACCTATGAGTCTCTTTTAATTAAAAAAAATTAACTAATTAAATTTATTATAATTGAAGAATTGTGTTTATCGCAATACTTTTGCTCCTTTGGCAATATACTTTTTTAAAACATATAAAGGTTGTGATGAATGGTTTGAAAAACCGACAAGTTGAAGATTGAGACACTTATGCAGCATACGGGAATCTTTATTCAGGAAACGTTTCGCCACACAGTGGCTCCATCAGTCCAATACAAAGATGAAGGCGTAAGGAGAGGAGGAGAATGAGGTAATCAGTCCCTCAACCTGGAGTCGATGTGTTCAGTCCATCAATCTTGTAGAATGTACATTCTACAAGATTGATGGACTGAACACATCGACTCCAGGTTGAGGGACTGATTACCTCATTCTCCTCCTCTCCTTACGCCTTCCTCTTTGTATTGGACTGATGGAGCCACTGTGTGGCGAAACGTTTCCTGAATAAAGATTCCCATATGCTGCATAAGTGTCTCAATCTTCAACATATGAAGGTTCATATGGACACAGTTTAATAGATATAAACACTTTCCTGATTTCTTATTAAATATTTATGCAAAAGATCACATAATCATTGGAAAAAGTTTTATTGCAAAGTGTTTCAAGGCAGAAATGCTCATGAATACCTATAATTAATTTTTTATTCCTTTTTTTTCAGCTCTAGAGTTTATTGGTGGTAAATGGCGTACATTTTGTGGGATCATCATTCTGATATCACTTGCACTTGGTGAAGTTATGACTGGAGTGTTGGCTATCTTCATCAGGGACTGGCGTTGGTTGCAAGTTGCTATCACTGCTCCTGCTTTCCTGCTCATATCTTATACTTGGTAAACGGAAAAACGGCACAATGCTCTGACTGGAACAATATAAAAATTACCCGCACAGAGGAGAGAAGAACTTATGACGACATTTCTGTCCTATTTGGACCATTTACAAAGTCATACACTTACGTCATCGTAAGCTCCTCTCTCCTATGTAATTTGTGTTTTATTCTTAGTAGTTACAGTTTGTATTTGCTCCAGCCTGAATCTTTCACACTTGATATGTACTGTTTGTATAAGAACATAAGAAGGAACACTGCAACAGACCTACTGGTCTATGCCAGGCAGGTCCAATTCTCCCAATTCTGACCTAGTGAGGTCAGACACGTCACTTAATGGAGGAGCCCGGCATCCGACCTAGTAGCACAAGCTAGTCAGGTCCAACTCACACTCACCTACGCCCACTCATGTATTTATCCAACCTATTTTTAAGAACTACACAACGTTTTAGCTTCTTTGACGGTACTCGGGAGTTTGTTCCACTCATCCACAACTCTATTACCAAACCAGTGCTTTCCTGTATCCTTCCTCAATCTGGATTTTTCCAATTTAAACCATTGCTGCGAGTCCTGTCTATGTTAAATATTTTTAGCAAGCTATTTACATCCCCTTTATTAATTCCTATTTTCCATTTATACAACTCAATCATATCCCCCCCTAATTCTACTCCTTTCTAGAGAGTGCAGATTCAGGGCCCTCAGTCTATCCTCATAGGGAAGATTTCTGATACATGGGATCAACTTTGTCATCCTCACGATATGACTCAAGAAATCGTAATGACACGATTGCAAATAAACCATACCCCCGGCCGGGATTTGAGACTCTATGACCGCGGGTTCAATCCCGGCCGGGGGTATGGTTGGTTTGTCATCCTCCTTTGTACGTTTTCTAGTACATTTATATCTATTCTGTAATACGGTGACCAAAACTGTGCAGCATAATCTAAATGAGGCCTAACCAAGGATGTATAGAGTTGAACAACAACCTGAGGGCTTCTATTATTTATAATTCTTGCTATGAAGCCAAGGATTCTGTTAGCTTTATTGAGAACACTAATGCACTGTTGTCTTGGTTTTAAATTACTGCTAACCAAAACTTCTAATTCCTTTTTGCAATCAGTAATATTAAGATCTACATAACTGAGTTTATATGTGGCATGGTTATTTTCCTGTCCAACATTTAGAATATTGCATTTGTCTATATTAAACTGCATCTGCCACTTATCCGACCACTGCATCAGTCTATTCAAATCATTCTGGAGTGCTCTGGTGTCATCAGCAAATTTGCTTATGTCGCTATTTATTCCCTCATCTATCTCGTTTATGTAGATTGTGAACAACAACGGGCCCAACACTGACCCCTGTGGAACACCGCTTGTGACGTGCCCCCATTATGATTTTTCCCCATTTATGCAAACTCTCTGCTGCCTATTTGTCAACTATGCCTCAGCCCAGGAAAAAAATTCTCCGCCTATTTCGTGTGCCTTAAGTTTCCTCATTAGCCACTGATGTGGAACTCTATCTAAAGCCTTACTGAAGTCCATATACACAATATCATAATCATTACCATGATGTACCTCTTCAAACACCTTAGTGAAGAAAGTTAGTAAATTCGTAAGACAGGAACGCCCCTTTGTAAAACCGTGTTGAGATTCATTAGTCAATTTATGCCTTTCAAGATGGCTACGAATTGCTTCAGCAATTATTGATTCCATAAATTTTTCCCACTATGGAGGTAAGGATTATTGGTCTATAGTTCGAAGCCAAGGACCTGTCACCTGCCTTGTAAATAGGTATTACATTTGCCATTTTCCACTTATCAGGCACTATGCCAGTTTGTAGTGATATGTTGAAAAGATTAGCCAAAGGTATGCTAACTTCCTCTTTACATTCCTTTAACACCCTTGCAAACAGTTCATCAGGACCTGGGGATTTGTTAGGTTTTAGTTTCTCTATTTGTCTGAGGACCATGTCACTAGTTACCGCAATCGTGCACAGTTTATTATCTTCCTGTTCTGCATACTCTATTATTTCTGATATTTCGGTAGTATTTTCCTGGGTAAAAACTGAGAGGAAGTAAGTATTGAAAATTTCACACATATCTTTATCACTATCAGTGATCTGACCTGAGTTACTCTTAAGTGGGCCAATCTTGTCCCTAATCTTACTTCTGTATACCTGAAATAACCTTTTTTGGGTTAATCTTCGAATCCCTTGCGACCTTAGCCTCATAATCCTTTTTAGCTTTTCTTATTCCTTTTTTTAATTTCTCTCTTTAATTGCATATATTGATTTCTTAACTGCCCATCTCCTCTTTCGATACGCCTATATATGCCTCTCTTTTGACCAATGAGATGTTTTAATCAAATGTTCATCCATTTGGGATCACTTTTGTTAGACCTAATTTACCTACTCAGAACTAAAGTTGTCTGGACAGCTAGAATTATGCTCTGAAAAACGTTATATTAACAACCAAGATCACCTACCTGACCCATAGTCAGGACATCCCAATTTAGCCCACCCAAGTAATTTTTCAGTCCCATGAAATTGGCCAAGCGAAAGTCTGGGACAGAGATTTGATTGCAGTTATCTGGGTAATTCCATGATATATTGAAACTAAGAGATTTGTGATCGCTTTCCCCAAGCTCATCATTAACCTCAAGATTATTAATGAATGATTCTTTGTTGGCAAGAACCAATACAAGTAGATTGTTTCCTCTAGTTGGATCTGTCACAAACTGTTTTAAAAAGTAATCCTGAACCGTATCAAGAAAGTCACTAGACTCAAGTTTTCCTGTCATATTGTTCTAATCAATTTGTCTAAAGTTAAAATCTCCCATTAATACAACATTTTCCTATCTAGATGCCTTATGAATTTCGTCCCATAACAGCTTACTGCACTCCCTATCAAGGTTTGGGGGCCTATAAATCACACCCAAAATTAATTTGCTACTATGAGTAAATGCTGCAGTTACTCCCTCTTACCAGTTCATATTTTACTCACTTGATTTGTTCAGTTTGTTATGTCACATAAGGAAATCAGCGAACAGGTGTGGGATATGAACAAGTCCCAAATGAGTCATAAATCTCACAGGTGAGTGTGTTAGCCACTCTGGCTTGTGAGTTTTACGACTCATTTCTCAGGGGTTCAAGTCTCAGCCATTCCATCATTTGTTTGCAATCGTGTTATTATCATTACGCGAGTCACAGACTTGTTAGTAAACAGAGGTCTGTGTACACACTAAACAGTACATTAAATAATTCCTGTATGAGTTATTCTTTATTAATATTTGTATTAGGGTATTATTAGGTATCCTTAATGGACTGCCTTAAATAGGTTGCCTGATTTTTATCTACCAGTTTTTCAATTATATTTCTCTTAATACTCGTCAACGCATCATTCAACACTTGTGTACGGTAATGAGGACCAAATTCCTGGAACAATTGGTATGTTCACGTTTTCTATGGCTAAAATTGTTCAGCTTATTCCCAGCATCCTGGGAGGGCTTGGATAATTTCCAAAATCCTAAGTGGCCATTCCTTCATTTAAAAACGGTTACAAAAAATTGAACGACGACAGATATGTAGATTGGATGATTATGAATTCAAAATCTTGTGAATTGTTTTCCAGATGAATCACGTTAAATAATTTCCAGTTTATTTCTTTTTAACAACTTTAATATTGAATTAGTGATGCAGCTTACATGGAGTTTACCTGGAGACGGTTTCGAGGGACAGCGCCCCCGCAGCTCGGTCTGAGACCAGGCCTCATAGTGGATCAGGGTCTGATCAACCAGGCTGTTACTGCTGGCCGCACACAAGCTGATGTACGAACCACAGCCCGGTTGGTTAGGTTCTGACTTTAGGTGCCTGCCCAGTGCCTTCTTAAAGACAACCAGGGGTATATTGGTAATCCCCCTTATGTATTCTGGGAGGCAGTTGAACAGTCTTGGGTCCAGGACACTTATTGTGTTGCCTCTCAGTGTACTTGTGGCACCCTTGCTTTTCATCGGGGGAATGTTGCATCTCCTGCCGAGTCTATCGCTTTCATAGGGAGTGATTTTCGTGTGCTGGTTTAGTACCAGTCGCTCCAGGTCCTTCCAAATGTATATTAACATGTATCTCTCTCGCCTGCGTTCCAGGGAATGCAGAGCAAGGACCTTCAACCGTTCCCAGTAATTTAGATGTCTTATCATACTTATGCATGCCATGAAAGTTCTTTGTACATTCTCCAGGTCTGCAATGTCGCCAGCCTTGAAGTGAGCCGTTAGTGTACAGCAGTATTCCAGCCTAGAGAGCACAAGCGATTTGAAGAGAATGATCATGGGCTTGGTGTCCCTAGTTTTGAAGGTTCTCGTTATCCATTCTATCATTTTCCTGGCAGATGAGGTAAATACATTGTTGTGGTCTTTGAAGGCGAGATCCTCTGACATTATCATTCCCAGGTCCTTCACATTACTTTCTCGTTCTATTGTATGGTTAGAATTTGTCGTATACTCAGATACGTTTTTAATTTCCTCAACTTTCCCATATCTGAGTAGTTGAAATTTCTCCTCGTTGAACTTCATATTGTTTTGAGTAGCCCATTCGAAGATTTGGTTGATGTCCGCTTGGAGTCTCGCGGTGTCTTCGATGGAAGTCACTGCCATGGTAATCCGGGTGTCATCCGCAAAGGAAGACACGGAGTTATGGCTTACATCTCTGTGTCAGAAATGAGGATGAGGAATAAAATGGGAGCGAGTACTGTGCCTTGTGGAACAGAGCTTTTTACCATGGCTGCCTGGGACTTTACTCTGTTTAATATTACTCTTTGTGTTCTATTTGTCATTTACCAACTTTTCCTGTTATTCCTTTATCACGCATCTTGAGTGCTATTACACCATGTTTACACTTGTCGAAAGCTTTTGCAAAGCCTGTGTATATTACATCTGTATTTTGTTTATCCCTTAAAGCATCCAGGACCTCGTTATAGTGGCCCAGTAGCTGGGACAGGCAGGAGCGATCTGCTCTAAACCCGTGTTGCTCTGGGTTGTGTAATTGATGGGTATCTAGGCGGTTGGCGATCTTGCTTCTTAGAACCCTCTCAAAGATTTTTATGATATGGGATGTTAGTGGTATCGGTCTGTAGTTCTTTGCAATTGCTTTACTGCCACCTTTGTGGAGTGGGGCTATGTCTGTTGTTTTTAGTGTGTGTGGGATGACCCCTGTGCCCATGCTCCCTCTCCACAGAATGCTGAATGCACGCGATAGGGGCTTCTTGTAGTCCTTGATGAACATGGAGTTCCATGAGTCTGGGCTTGGGGAAGAGTACATGGGAATGTCATTTATTGCCTTTTCAAAGTCTTGTGGAGTTAGGACAATATCTGAGATTTTTTAGATGACCAAATTTTGGGTTTCCTTCATAAAGAATTCATTTGGATTATCGACCATTATAGACAAAAAAAGTAACCATGCGACATATAAACTAAATAATGTAGATCTTAATACTACTGATTGCAAAAAGGATTTAAGAGTTCTGGTTAGCAGTAATCTAAAACCAAGAAAATAGTGCATCAGTGTTCGCAATAAAGCTAACAGAATTCTTGGCTTCATATCAAGAAATATAAATAATAGAAGTCCTCAGGTTGCTCTTCAACTCTATATATCCTTGGTTAGGCCT